AAAGGATCCCACAGCAGGCTTCATATCTTAGTGGAACATCTTCAAAAACTACAACTCTAAGGATTGTAGCTGCTAAAATCTGCTCTTACCTACCCAGAACCTCTTATTCTTGATTATCCATGTAAGTTCCTTATAACCTAGGTCTATGAGATAAGGTGGGTGATTACCCATTGTTCTGAGGGCAACATATTTTTAAATCCTAATCAGGACACTAGTGATATGGCCAGCATAATCAAACTCTTACCCTACATGTACTACCTAATCAAATTAAGATCGTGGTTGTGTACAAATTCCACGATGGTTTCCCCCTACTCAACACACTCTTGTACCTGCTTACGTTTCCCAATGTCATCAAGCATTAGGTTGTTATAGCGGTTGCACAGGGACTCCGTAACAAATGCTTCATATTCCTCATCAGCCTCTTTCTTGCATTGCTGGAGTTCTTAACATTCAGTTTTTACTTAGTCAATGTACAGCTCACCAACTCCCTTCAAACTTATCATCAAGCTTGTATAATAGCTTTTCACACTTCACAGACCCTGTGGCATTAATATTGCCATGGCAGATTGTCCCTTTGGGTAAGAAGCTTTCCAATTGATGTCCCTCTAGCCAACAGACATGTTGGTCCACCTCGGTCACCTGTTCATCTGAGTATGGGCCACTAATCTCATATGCAGTGAGGGGCTTGATTCCAGATCCTGTACCAGCTATAATGGACATCATGGGCTCGTAGAGCTCATTGTCGGCTACATTGAAAGGAATGATATCACAATAAAAGAACTTCTCAGCCTCATCACACGCTTCGCTATTGTCTTAGTGAAGCTGAACTTGATGGTCATCTACTCTGATGAAGGCTCTGAAAGATGAGGCCAATTTGAGCCTAGGGAGGCTGCATGACTTCGGTGGGTTGAGTGGGCTAAGGAGGTTGTCTGGCCTATGCTGCTCACCCCCCACCAACTGTCCCCATCAAGCTCATAAAACTAAACAAACTAGGTGTGCAGCCACTGTGGCACCGGCAGTGTGGCTTGATTTAGCCCCTGAGGACCTACCCGCACTGCTGGTAATTTGCCCCTGAGGAGCCCTCCGCCATACCTATCCATGCTGCTCTTCTGGCAACAGATCTACAAGCTTCGCCTCCTGAGCACATTCAAGTAGTGCCCCAAACTCTCCATCATCATCCCACTCCTCCTGACTAGGGGCTAATATGGGCTGCCAATCGCCTCAACCATCTTCCCTTTTGCAGTCTTCTTCTCCTTTGTTGTTGTGCTCACCACAGGGCACATCACCGTCAGCCTTGCAAGAAGATGATTCAAGCGATCGATACCCCCTCTCACCTCATTTCCTGAGAATACATATTTAACCTTATACTCATTGGGATAATATCCTATCCCCGTTCTCCCCAAGCAGGATAATCTTTATCTGCAGTATCTCCCAAACTACAAAGAGCAACCAACTAGCATTTAAATAGAAGTTTGGCCAATCTCTCAGAAATCTTGTTTAAAGATCAGATAGAAGTTTGAGCGGTCCCACTTAGTACACCTTGTCGACAGATACCTTCCAACTTTTTTTCTTTCCAGTTTCCTGCCTAAATCAAAAAAAAAAAAGAGTTGGACTAAGCACATCCGGCCAAGACTATGGGACACACCCAAGTCCCATCATTTGTATTCCAAGAGATTTCTAAGTGTTAATCTCAAGTAAATCTCATGCCTCAGTCAACCAGTCAGTAGGAATCCGATTAAAAAAGAGATGTTTTCCCCAAAAAATCTCTGAATTTTTGAAATTCATAAAAATTACAAGTTACTCGAAAACCTTCAAAAAATCACGGTTTTTTAGAGAACCAATATAAGTGAGCATTGTTTTTTTCCTTCTTCAAAAAAACTTCCTAAAGTAACTTCTTCCCTCCTTTAATTTTAATGCCCTCATTTTTCAAACTTTCTTGAAACTTCAATTATGGCTCTTGATTTCAGAGTTTTGAGTTTTGATTCTTAGATAAGCTTATAGAAAGTGGGATCAAACCAAGATTCTGATTTAACAAAATATTTTATCAAAGCTTTCATCAACATAAACTCGATCACCAAAGAAAAAAAAACAACCATGGTATATAAAAATCCTTACCAACGCATTCCAGGAAAAAATATTCTCCCAAAAACCATACCTTGCAAAAATATTCTACAGTAGATACATTCCCTATCCAGATCCAAATCAAAGTCTCAAGTATGCCACTTTAGGGTCCTTTGGAACCAGCAAACTTTCTTGAAACTTCAATTATGGCTCTTGATTTCAGATTTTTGAGTTTTGATTCTTAGATAAGCTTATAGAAAGTGGGATCAAACCAAGATTCTGATTTAACAAAATATTTTATCAAAGCTTTCATCAACATAAACTCGATCACCAAAGAAAAAAAAACAACCATGGTATATAAAAATCCTTACCAACGCATTCCAGGAAAAAATATTCTCCCAAAAACCATACCTTGCAAAAATATTCTACAGTAGATACATTCCCTATCCAGATCCAAATCAAAGTCTCAAGTATGCCACTTTAGGGTCCTTTGGAACCAGCAAAGGGTAAGATCTAAGCGACTAAAGCAATTGCCTTCTAAGTCAGCAATTTTCATACACTGATTAGGGCATTTGGAGGGTAAGGAATGCTTGGATCATCATAATAGAAAGTAAAATTAGAGAGGCGCTCAACAGCAAACCATTGTTATAAAATGCAGGATGGGGCCCAATGCGATCGTCGATGAGGCCCCGACGCGGGCGCATAACCTCTAATACGGTCAATAAATTTAAAATAAAAATAAAAATATAAAAAAATATAATATTGCATAGAGAAAAACATAAATGTGATTTATGTGATAATAGATATTTTAATTAATTCAATATCTATAACACATTAGTTGTCTGAGACTTTGAGTCCCTCTATAGCCAAATAAAGAGTAATAGAGTCTGTTGTTCTAACTTCTGATCTTTAATTTTCAAATCTCTAACACAATTAACATGTAAAACAAAGCAATCCATTCAATCGCATATAAAACATCCAAAACTCCAAAATTTAAAGTTTAAAACTCCAAAGAGGCAAACACAAAAAGTTTATGACATGTAAAAAACAAGATTAACTCTCAAATCTCAATCAGATAAGTCATCGAATACTTAAATTCTCCCATCAATTTCCTTTTGTGTCATTTTCTTCTTTTCTTTTCCTTTTTCTTGGTTATCTATGTATTCCCTAATCCCATTTCCAATGTCATAGGATGTTTGTGGGCAGGTTTTAACATTCCCTGTAATATCAGCTAGGTATTCCTTTCGCTAGAAAATACCCCCTGTATAAGTTTTCCCACGAGTACAAGTAGTGCAATTTCCATCCTTTGGGCTTTAGAGGTAAGCATATTTCTATGCCGGATTCTTGTTACTTGATGATGAAGACCTTGCCCCCCCTCCCTCAACAATAAACACATACATACATACATACATACATATATATATATTAGGAATGAAAAACTTACCAAACAACCCAAAGAAGTTTCAATGCAGGCCAATCACATTTTTTCACATGTGATCTGGAGCGATGCGCTCCAAGCCGCATAACGCATTATGGGGCCGTGTTTTAAAATAATGAGGCCAACCAAGATAGAATATGATGGTTGGCGCCACATTGGACATGAATAGCTTTAGGTGATGGTGGTGAGGTTATCTTGATGCTGGGTCATTGCAACCTGCATCTGTTATGTCCCAACCAAGGCAATGGATGATGGTTACACCCCACTGGACATTATTTGCTCTAGGTGATGGTGATGAGGCTATCCTGACATTGCGTACTGCAACGTGATATGGCACATCCATACCGACCAAGGCAGCAATGATTACCCCCCACTGGACATGATTCACTATAGGTGATGGTGATAAGGTTATCTTGATGTTGCTTTCGGCCTATGGTTTCATGGGTGAGGGCATGTCAGACTTAGAGGACTTCAAAGTAACATGGACTTCAAGGATGTCAATGTAGCCAATTTGTTCAATAAGTAGGAGGTTGCCTTGCTCAATGGTGTTCAATAAGTAGAATGAAGTTGCATTGCTCATTCGTGTTTTTAACTTTAACTTTGATAAAACACTCCAAGGTCATCCGGAACACGCAGGTATAGGTGGTTTGCTACGGAAGTCTTCCAGGCAAACTTTGGGGTGCTGTGGGGATTCCTTTGAGATCAGCTACTCAACTTTGCCTGAGGCAAGAGTTCTACTTGAGGGGGGCAAGACTAGCGCTTAGAATCTCTTGTTTCCCAATAATTGAGGAAGGGAATTGCTTAAATGTGAACAGATCAGCCAGGCAAGAAGTATTCACTTGGAGAACTAGACATGCATTAGTGAAGTGGCCACCAGATCCGTTCTGCCCATATCCCTTGCAGTGCAATTGAATGTGTTGATGGCCTGGCAAAGGAAGAAGTCGGTTATTCGAGTCTAGCAGCTACTTTATTTTCTAATCATGTAGCTCAAATTGAGTTGCCTCATTGTCATCTCAATCATTAGTCTTACTTGTATGTGACATGATTGCTTTTCTTTAATGCAATGTCATCCTTCCTCCAAAGTTGAATCAATGCCTAGAATACCAATATGAACTGAAACTATGACAGAAACTTGAATTTTCAAATAATGCCCATCCTATTGTGTTCCTCCAAATGAGAGTTTTAATCTAATCCACTCAGCTAAATCAATAAATTACCCTTCATAAATCTTGTATTTTCATTATAAGACCAGGGAGACAAAATCCATCTACAACAATGACCTGTCCAGGCATTTTTCTGAATTTTGTTTTTCATGATTAAATGATAGAACAACATTGGGTTGAGAAATTCAAAAGTTTTTTATCTGGAACACCTGCATGATTACTGCAAGTGTTCCAACCGATGTTTTGATATTTCCCAAACGATGAAAGAAAAAAAAATTAAACAGAAAATATGAGCAGCAGAAGTGTGTTTGTACTCAAATATGATTATGATAATGTACCTGCGTGATCTGTTCCATCCACTCCTTGGAGAGCGGCTAAGGCTTCTCTCCATCCATGTGTCAATACCAGGAGAAATACTACTCGTATTGTAACCGTGATCTCTGCTCCATGCCTTTGCACTTGACAAATTTTCATCTCTTTTTCTTTTGCCATTCTCCCTGGATGGCCTATCTGAAAATGATCCAGACTTCGCAATACTGTCCTCTTCGATGGCAGACTTCTTTAGAGAATCACTGCAAGAATCCCAACCAGAGCCCCACTTTTCTGCATTGTCATGTTCTCTCTCACTTTTAGGAAGATCTTCCACAGACAGATCCCATTTAGAACTTTTTCGAGCATTTTTAGCAACTGGATTCCTTAATGGATTAGCAATCAATGTAGAAGAGCTTAATTCAGAAGAGGCTATGCTCTCCAAACGCAGGTCTTTTGGAGTCAAAGTCGGAGATGGAGCTGGACCTTCAGTGTTTACATTCTCGGCTGGTATTTCTCTACAAGGTTCTGTAAATTTGAGAAAAGCATAATGATACAGTTAGACTTGAGGTTTAAGAAGATCATTCTGTACGTGCATTTATTGCCTTTATATGGATAGATATACAAGATTCAAAAACTATAATATAATCCCACAGACCATGGAAAGGCCACAGTCTTTTTGATCATTCCTGACCATTCAACAAATTGACTTTGATTGAAGGAGAGAATCCAACCAACTAGAGTTATGTTCTGGTGGGCTCCATTTTCCAACCAAAACCATCCGTCCACAGATTGAGGTCATGACCTCATGAACTATATTTCTCCACGCCTGGTGGGATTGCAGCAGATTTTCCTTACTATTTATCAAGGGAAACAACAAAGCTAGCAAGTCTAGTTATCGAAAGAGGAAAACAACTAAGCAATTTGAGGGATACACTAGATGAAACAATAATTAGTACCAACCAAATATATCAAAATAAATAAATATATACAAACCAAGAAATCAGAGAGAAATTGGGAAAGCATACCATATACCATAGGCATACAAAACTACCGTAGTTCATTCAGTCAATTGGTGGAGATGCACACAGAGTGTGGAACCCATCATATAATTACTAGGAAAACTATATACAAAAGACATATTTCTAAATTGTGATTTTGACTTCATTATTATATAGACAAAATAGGATTATGTATTTCTAAAATATAAGGAAGCAAGATTCCATATTGATTGAATCGCACTTCCCTACTCCCATGAACCGATGTAAGATATGTTGTAGATTCTAGATTCAAAACCCTAACGAAATAAGAATCATTACATATGGAATCATGTACCATTCGACACGGACTCAAGATTCAATCTTTGCTGGAGTCACAATTCAATGTATAAGGGAACGACTTTCCACAAATAATGGGTTCAAAATTCTAAAGATGTATTGAAACGAGATTTCCTAAATTAAGGAATCGAGATTCCGTTGTTCCGACGAATTGCTGAATCGGGTTTTCGAACCAGAATCATGGCAAACAAAATCCGATAATTATGAGTAGAGCTAAAGCAATGCTATAAACTTTCATGTTCCATCAATCATATTGAAAATGTAGAGGTCAAGGCGCAATGCTATGATCAAGTCTAGAGAACTCCTCAAGATTATAACTATTATAGAATAGAAAGAAGTCGTAAAATAAACCATAATTCCAAAATGATTATTCACAAATAGGTGACTACACAAAAGTTTATCTCATTTGGCATATTTTGACAAAGATAAACATTGTCATCAATATGGGAATATGGAACTTTTGGACCATAGAAAAAAGTAATTGTCCCAATAGACTTTATCCATAAGAAACATGGTTCAATCTCTAGATCTTAGAGGAATCGGAACCGACAAAATCGGGTCCTTAAAATACATGGGAGAGAGTAAAGGTTAGTTCAAATGCAATTCATCAAATTGAAACCTAGTAAATTGATCAACTAGATAATGCTCTCATGTGAAAATACAAACTATTTTCTTTCCATAAAACGGAAGCACAAATGCAATAAAAGATGAAGACACAAGATAACTCCGCTCGAGATATCCTTGATGGCCACTCTTTGTGGGTGGGGAGACCTCCATGGTTATGGGCAGAAGAAAGAATTTTTGTGGGTCAAGGTGGTTATTTGAGATCGTATCCAAATTTGAAAAGGTAAGTCTATATGGATAAATTAGATTGATTTCTACTTTGAATAGGGTAACAAATGGAAAGGAAATCAAGGGATTGAAAAGCTCTACAGAAGGGGTTGGAGAGAGAGAGGGATAAGCTTTTTTCTTCATTAAAAAGAACTACAAACCATCCAAAAAAAATTCTTTAGTTTCCTCTATCTCCAAAAGAAGTCAAATGAGACCCAAATCGCTCGCTCTCTCTTTGCTCCCTCTATCAAGAAACCCATGACCCTCAGCCAGTGAACTAAGAACTCACAATAATCCATCAGTGCTTGGGATTTGCACTAGGAACCACTCTTGGAGGTTCTAGTAATTGAAAGACAAAGACCTAAGGAGGTGTCAAACTTTGAACCTGTGAAAGGGAGGAATTGGTGCAAAATGGGAGATCGAACAATGAGAAAGTATCTAACCTCCAACCATCAAATGGTTTTGTGCATGTTTTAAGTTTTTTGGAGTTTCTATTGCATTGAAGACCCACGATATCTGCCATTGGCATCAAAACAACTCGATGAAGGTTCGTTCTTGGGTTCTGTTGCCTTGTTTGAACTATTGCATAAACTGTCCCTTTTCTGCCTCGGTCATCACCTTGTCGCAAACCCTTGTCTCTAGAGCATGTGGTCTATAGTCTAACAATATAAATATAATTGTATAACACATAAGAGTTAAGGACTTAGGGCACATCACTGTTTTTTTGGGTTTTTCTCTCTTTAAAATAGGCATTTGAAATCTAAACGCCACGATTTTGGCCCTTTTATATTTAAAAAAAAAAGACCAAAAAATGCCCTCAACAAGGGGCAATTTCACCCTAAGGCGGGGTGCAGGCCCTGGGCGCTGGGCGCCCACCTAGGCAAGTTCCCTAGCGCCTAGGCGGGCGCCCAGGCACAACCCGCCTAATTTGGCCGCCTAAGCCTAAGACATGCGCTCAGACCTTCTAGACCGCCTAGGCGCTGGGCGGTCCACTTTTTAAAACAATGAGCGCAATGATCTCAAGTTAGTCCAGGGGTTCAGTGGAAAAGTGTTGGAGACACACAGGCAAGTTGTACACCATAGTGGTCCTATAAAGTGAAACCATGCACAAGCGACAGACGCATATCTGCAATAGGCGAGTGCTTGCACAAATTCGCAGCACATGACAACATGTGCAATTGCAAAGCACTCATAACTTGTGTGGCCCCCAAGGTTGTACTATGCAGTCGTGCATAACAGCCTGGTTGTCACACAGATGGATGATATTATACAGCCTCATGAGGGGTAATGTCACAACAATATGGCCTTGAGGCTGCAAGAACGTGGCCACACCAAGAGACCAAGGCCACACTGTTACAACCACAGTTACACAGAGGGATTTGAGTGCGGTTGCAACCTACCTCCATAAAGTCCCATTGTTGCTGATTTTGATTGTGGTTTGTAGTTAAAGGATTGCAGCCTCAGAAGATGTAATTTTAGACCTTATGTTTCAAATGGGCTTTAACCTCGCACCTAGATTTCAAATTCTTACATCTGATACATCACTTGATACCTTGATGCAACACTTGGCCATCATCATGATAGTCATTCTTACATATGACCATGTGACCATCATATAGGTGGAACACTTGACCAACAGCATGAATCCGTTGAGGAAGGGAACACAGACCAATGCGTCGTAAGATAGAAGCTAATCGAGCATGGCTCAAAAGAGACTGTACACACATTCACCCTGTTGAGCAGAATCCATGATGACCTGAGTGGTCGATTTGAGACCTATCCAACAATCAGGGAGCTATGGCATGTGTTCCAACTCCAGTTCACTGGCACCTCCCTCATCAACTAGGTTGCATGCACTCACACTAGCATTTGAAATGTACAAAATGCCACCAAATGTCTCCAAGATGGAGCATTTGAGAAAAATGGCACAAATGACTGTCGATATAAGTGCAGCTGGCATGTGCTAAATGACGAGAAATAAGCTTTGGTTTTGCCCGGATCGCTTCATCTTGAGAGCAGATAGAGATAATGTTGACGCATGATGAGACCATTAAGACATTTGATCGTTCATCTCATCATCCAACATTGAAGGTTGAGCGTTGTTTTGCTAGTGACAGCGAGCTCACCATGTTTGCCAAGCAAGGCAAGCCCAAAAGCAATACTTGGTAAACAATCATCTCAAGATGGAGGAAACGAAGGTTAAGGGCACAAAGGGTAAAAACGTTATAAGAAAGGAGAAGCAAGCGCAATGCTCTTTGGACAAGTCAGCCTCGACCTACTACAACTACTAGAAAATGAGCCACTTCGATTGTGAGTGCACTTAGCCGAAAAATGAACAAACTGTTCACTCCATTGAGTTTGCTAATATGTGCACAAAGGTGCTAGTTCCTCATCTGCTATCTAACAGTTGGATTATTAATTCAATAGCAGTGGAACACATAGTCAGGGATGCACACAAAATTGTGGAGCTTCATTGAGTTCCAATGAGAGGCGTGAATGTTTTCATGGTAAACAATGCCGCCAAGGACGAGGTGGACATGACGACCTATCATTTACAATTTTGATCTAGTCAGACCACGTTTCTCTGAGATGTTCTCAACACTCCTGAGATGATAGGAGAATCCTTTCAGTCCCTAGACTATCACAAGAAACGCATTTGATTTCTTTTTTATGCCTCCTTAGGATCCTTCCATATTTAGGTATGGACTGAGCTTTTATAATTTGTTATATTTTAATCAGTACAATTGTAAGGGGCCGTCACTTGGTGTGATGATAAAAGGCTCGGGTGGTTCGAGTCCAAAGAGCGGCCACCAAAGGTTAGGACCGTTTCCAGCTCACCCTCTCAAGACCCTGCATAGGCGGGACAAGCACCAGGTTACGACACTTTTTAATAAGTACAATTGTAGAAGGAATGGCAAACTCTTTTTGGCACTTGGGCACATTCATACCAAGGAATGCAAAAATAAAACAAAAACAAGATAAAAATAACAAACTTAGGAATTAGGACAAGTTATGCACAGCCTCGCAAGACAGAGACATTTGATCATTGGCAAAGAATGGTAAAGTTGAGCGTTTCTTTATATTACTACCAGTAAGTACATGGAAAGAAGTAGTTCAAAACTAAGAAACCCTCCAATTCTCCAAGAAAAATCGAAGTATGTTCCCCCGCAGGCATTATACTTCCTCTACTATTCAAGGTTTCTACCATTGTCGCTTTGTTTAGATCTTGGAGTTGAAACAAGCATTTTGTTTCATTATTTCTGATCTTTTTTCTAAGTTTATTAAACTGAAAATCGAGGCATCCACACTTCAAAATATGGTGCACCTGATAAATTAGTAAAAAGGCATTACTGACCAAAATACCTTGAAACTTCCAATGGTATTTTGGTTATTTTTAATTACTGCAACTAGTTTTTTATATTTTTATCAAGTGTGCCCTATTTTGAAGTGTAAGCACCCTAAACTTCAGCTCAATTGGATTTCTAAAAAATATTAAAATTCAAAAAATGTATGCAATCAATCATTTGATCAAGATCGAACGGTTGAGATCACCAGCGATCCACGTTAGGGAAATTGCTACAGAATTTTGTGTTTATTCCATATGCATGGGAGCCTGCATGCATGTCTACACTCTACATGCTCGTGAGGTATGTGTGTATGCATATGTGTGTGCACATAAGAATGTATTGCTCAAAGATTGTTGTAAGAGGAACCCACCATTTCTCTCCAAAGACTCAGAAAGTTGAAGATTCGTTTCTTTTATGTCTAGAGCTACCGAATCCTCCTCCATTCTCCTAGCAGAATTCGCATTTGTCTAGTGTTCCCTGTACTTCTTCCAAACAAAGGGATGAGTTGCTAAGCTGATGAAACACATACATATCCATCACCTATAAAGAAAAAGTCCTTTCTCGTGATAGGCAACACAATCGAAGACCTGAGAAACATGGTTATACCATTAAATAAAAAAATAAGCATGCTTCTCATCATATTTAGCATTTGTAATTTACTATAGCATGTGCATCCTTTAATAATAGCCCATTCTACAATTTACAAACCAAATGTTGATGAAACTTAACATGAACAATTGAAAGATACATATTTTACAAACACATAAAGAAATACAATACATATAGATAATTGCAAAGCTGAACCAATCATACATGCATAGAGACAAGAGCTCATTCCTCATCAGTCGAAAGCCCTAGTATGGTCTTAAGACTGTTAAGGATATTGAACAACAGATTTACAAAACAAAATCCCAAGCGTACTTTACATCAATGATATTGTAATTAATATGCAAAAGGTAAACTTAGAAAATGATTGTGCTGAGTGCAGCATTATTATATTTGGTATATTGCAGAGAAATAGCTGTCAAAAGAAAACTAGAAGTCAAGACAGGCCTACTTTGAGAGCAGATTTGCAGACACCAGCCGTAGTCTCCAGCAACCTTATATATCTCATAGAGTTTGAAAATTTTCAGCAGCTTAGCTCTTGTCATTGCTTTTTACTTTAATGAAACTCAAGGAACTCTAAGTAAATGAATTATAGATTCTAAGTTTGGAAGATTAGAGAGGATTACTTGACCAAATTCTAGTTTAAAGGCCGGGGGTAAAGCAGAAAACTTATAAATTTACAATTTCCCCCAAGGAAGTTTGAAAATACCTATGGTTTCCCATGAATGCAGTTTAGTTTTGAATATGAGAGCAAATAATATCTATCCTTAACTAATATCAACAGCTATTGCATATATATATCATGGCTAGTTCATAGAAGAATTAGCAATACCAATAGCTATTGCATATAAACTATGGCTAGTTCATAATTTCGGAACAAGAAGAAATGCTCCTTTTTTCAACCTACCTAGGGATAGTTTGAAAATCATATTGTTCTTTTCAATTCCAAATGCCTGAGGAATGGCCAAAGAGCATACTCTCAAAAGTGTACTCTCACACCCGATCTTCACATCCATTGAAGTCTTCCATTGACCAAGGAGTACAGAGCTAAGTGTTGAAAGACCCAAAAAGACTAAATAATGGCAAAAATGAGCACAAGATAACCAGGCATAAGTATACTGAACATCAGGTAGTTGATTACCTCCTCCGTTTTCACACCCTGAAATGTTAAAGAGAGTGACAGTGTCTTCATACAAATGCCAATATTTCTTTTCTCCCATGGCATCCTCCTTTATACAGGCTCCTTTGTCATTAGATAATGACACCATTGGAATTTTAGTAAGGGCAAGGGGTACTTTTGTTATTTAATATGCACGTGATTTAAACTTTCTTTGATGGTAGTTCCGCAGCAGGAAATATTGAAAATGAATGGCCCAAAGAACGTGTTACAAGATATATTATTTTTAGGACTTGAAATCTCTTTTTTTCATAACCATACATCTCAGGTCAAGATGATCAATGGGAGGGTTTTCTAGTATCAGAACAACATTTTACGGTGGCTTTTACGGGGCGCATATGTGTGTCTAATAGTTATCAAATGCAGAGAGAGAGAGAGAGAGAGATTTATGCTTCCAAAATTTCTGAAAAAATTTGGAGTTTGCTCTTGAATCTTGGTGGATTGTTTGATATTGTTTTTGAGTTTCATTTTGAAGGTTCTATGGTGAAGATTAGACAAGTATTTGAGATCCAAGGCCTCAGAGATTAAATCCTAGAAATTGAAATCTCTTTCAAATTGGAGTTTTGTGTCCAAACATCGGATCATTATTTTTGGTGCATTTCATTTCTTCCTAATTTTTTTGGACTTTTTCATCAAGTAACAAAGATCTAACTTGGATATATTCGAGACACGGCAATCTGAACGATAGAAATAGTGCTTTTTGCATGCTATGTGAGAAAGAATTTTTCTGACAACTAGAAACATAACCTAAACTACTATTCCTTTTAGGTAAAAACCTATTGTTAGCTTTTTCGTATAATTATATAAAGTATAAGACAGACATTTTACTTTTGACACAAGGAGGTCACACTTATTCCTAGCCATCAAATGTGAAATACAATGGGTAAGGGTGTGCCATAGATTACGCACAAAGCTCAATAAAAAATTTCTCAAACTTTGTACATTGTTCTTAATGTGCAAATTTCAAGTCTAATGGATAGAGATGATTGTGAACTTCTTGTACCAAAAATAGATCGTCTCATAGTATACATTCCCATTTATATATTGGGAATGCTTTCATGCAACAATTTTATAGTAATACAATTAAAGGTACCTTAAAAAACTATGATAATATCATTTGTCTGACACCAATTTAAAGATACACTCTTGTCATTCTGATTAACAATCTCAAAAAAACGAAATTTGAATATATTGTAAATGTTCATATGCGGATCTTGTCATTGCCAATTTGCAAAATTGTAGATAGCAACCTCTTGCCCCTTCACAATCCACAATTAATTGTTCTTCCACACAAACTCTCAAACGAAGTTCCGTACCTCATGGATTGGCTCTGCGACTCTATATCTATGTTGTTCTTTTGAATATATCATATCTTAGGAGTTAGATCAAAGAGGGTAATCTTCTTTATCACTCCAATGACACAGTCTCATCACTATTCCAAGTTTGCTGCTTCAAGTGGTTCTTATTTATCTTAATGTTTTATGATTAGGTACGCATCTCATCATCATCACAAGCAAATTAATTAGCTTGAGATGAGATTGGCTATTGGTTGTAAGGCAAGATATCACATCCCTAGACTTCATAGAATCCAATAGACTGCAATAACAACAGCAAGAAAAATGAGAAAAAGACTAATTTTATGTAATTGTAATCATTACAATTTTCATGAGAACTATTATGCGCAAAACAATTGCATGAAACAACACCATAGCTCTTTTCGTCGTGGTAAGAATTTCAAAGGCCCAAACCTATCCTTGCAAGCATTGAGATATTTAATTATCTAAGACAAAAATGGTATCCTCATTTACCAGAATCGTCCACCCTAGGTATCACTACAAATCCGAACTCCTGGAAGTTAAGAATCACGATTCCACAATTTCTTAATCTTGTTTAGAAGTCTTTGAAATCTAGATTCTACTTCTCCAAATTTTACGATTCATATGTGCACATGAACTTGATTCAACCAATACGCAACCTCGTTTCCCATTTTTAGGAATAACAATCAAAGATATCTGGAATCTAGATCCACAGCCAAAATTTAGTGAGTGCTAGGAATTCAAAAAAAATATTTGGCAGTTTTTGTTATTTAAACTAATGATTAATATACTACAGGTATCTAAAACAATATGGGTGTCAATAAACTCTAATTTACACCATTCCTAAATTTCAAGAATTTTTAATAAATGTCTTATTTTTAAAAAAAAAATACACTATTATTTTATGGGATCGGTATGTATAGAGTTGAGGCTCTAAACAATCAAAGTAAGGTGCACCTTCAAATAGTGTAGAGAAAAATGGTTTCAATACTGGAAATCTTTGTGATAGCCTTAAAATATATTTTCATATTTAATTATAAAATTTAAAGCTTCAAAAATAGTGTGAGCAGATCCATGAAAACTTGATAATCTTGAAAATTGACAGTCCAAAAATGCATTACAAGATTCACTATTTCCAAAACTTGAAATCCATTTTTTTCTCATGTCTATGCATCTTGATGTCGAGATGATCAATTAGAGGATATTTGGGCATCCAAAAACCCTCTTCTAGTGAAATTTTTTAGGTGGGCTCTAATTTGATAGTTTAGAGCCTCGGCTCTATATAAACTTTTTCCTTATTTTATTAATAAACAAAGTAATTTTATTTTCTTTGTTCTCCAAGGATGTAAAAACTCAACGGAAGTATTAATTAAGGGTACTTGACCTTGTTTCTAATACTTGTGGAGAACTGTGATAAAAGGCACGCCATGGGTAAGTGTATATATTAATAACATCGACCCAATGTTAGGGAGCATTGTCAAAGATACCAATTCCAATAATAGGGGGCCATGGGTAAGTGTACCTAATATATACAGTCCAATACTAAGAAATTATTGCTTATAGATAATCTAAAACGTTAAATCTTTTGCCATTTGGAACTCTTCTTGATAATTTCCATATGAGTTCAAAGTGGTTTGCTTCACAATTCTCGTAACTTAGGAATCTCGATTCCAAGTTGATGGGACCGTAATTCCAACAAGGTAGGAATCTCAATTCCTATCGGAATCGAGAGTGATTCCCAAATAATAGAAACCCCACTTCATGTGATATGCATTGCACAGAAGGTGATTCTGATTATAGGAATCATCTGCCCACGCATGATTCCATGATTTTGATTCCTAAAACGATTTAAAATCATACGCGTTTTCAACATCTATAATCCCCACAACATGAGTTAATCCTATCTCCATATGGCATTCAAAACCTTGAAGATCTTCGGAAATCCCCATAGAATCTCCATGACACAGGAGACGCCTTTAACATCATTCGAAGTCTAACTATGCAGAAAGCTACAGCATAAAGACACACTCCGATTAATAATAGGCAACCTTCAAACCTAAGGAGCCTATAAAGCATCTAAACAACATTTCAATCATGAGTCAACAGAATCCGAAGTGCTCACCCCCATAACAAAAATAGATCTTGCATGCTTCAAAATAAGAAGTGGTCCTCAAGTGGAGAGATGAGCCCATTTCAGGCAAGGTCTCTAGTGCGGCACTCTAATGATGAAGAGAGCAAAGGACGTGCACAACCAGCTTAACTACACAAAACCATGGTTGGGCTGACCCTCTAGGTTTCCTTGGAAGCTTCCATTCAAAATATAGCACCAACAATCATGGTGGAGGTGAGAACCAAATCAATATAGGTTGTATCCCAAGTTGAAAGGCCCTAAATAAGTGAGTGAAGCTCAAGTGCCGAAGTCAAAGAGAAGGAACTGAAACGGTTCTCTATTCCACCTTCCCACTTTGACTTCCTAAGAAGTCAGGCAAAGTGAGAACCGGAACTTCCCTGAAAACGTATAACCCCGCTATTTCAAACTCTCAGCCTCTAAAGGTATGTATGAGCATTTTGTGCAGGTCGCAAGAAGCCATAAAGATCATACTTTGAACTTGGCCTTGTTCATGGTACTTCTTCCTTCGTCACTCGCTCATGGGCCGCTCAATTAGCTTGAGCATGCATTGAATTAGGGGCGTCTACCAGTAGAAGGCTACTCGTGAGTCATGTTGTCGCCACCCGTCCTGACCATGAATCACCTAATCCAGTCCCAACATTGATGGCCCTATTGAAGCGGACCTAAGAGCATGCATTTACCAAGGTTGATTTGTCCTGTGGGATCTATATCTTCGAAACCCGTATCATTTTAACCATGAGCTCCAGGCCTCTGGCTTTCACATCTTCCATGATGCCATTGAGTGCCATTGCCAAAAACGCTACCACGACTTAATTTATTATCTCAACTGTCTATATTCATGCTAGCTTCTCTAAATTGTAACGGTTTCTTCCCGTCCATAAATGCCAAATTACAACCATAAGGGCAGACCCCATTTTTCAACCCCATGATTCGTACCTGCAAGGAAAGAAAAAAGTTATTAGGCATTGCCTATGATATAGTAAATACGATAATAACTATACGATAATAATAACTGGTCCAATTCTTTTGGCTAAATTAAATTGTATAAAATATGGTACACTAATTCCACCTCTCCTTACAAGAGGAACATGTGGGTTCCTCGTAATCCATCGCCCTCCACTAGTGGTTTTCAACTGTCAAGTTTTCATACTTACAAGCCAACTTGTAGAATCTATAACTTTTAAAAGAGGTGCCCTTGTACCCAATTAAAACAACATGAGAATTTAAAAATAAATTATTGCATAAGATACAAATTGGGCAAATCACCGAAGTCCTGCACCATTCCTTTAATCTGCACTAGCTCGTTCCCCTTATTCCATGCATTTCTCACTTGTCAAAGCAAACAACTCCACCAACCCATCCATTTTCCCTTCCTTGTGATTACTCCTTACACTTGTTTAAACAAAAAATCAATCTCAATCCATGATGCCCTCAAAATGTTTGGACATTTGTAAGGTATGTGTGCTTAAGAGCTAATTAAATAGTTCATAAGTAGGAGGCAAACATAGATGCTAGACTATGATATTGCACTTCATTCCAGCCATTTAGAAAGCTATGGGGTTCCATAGTTCATAACTTCATATGAGTCTTCAAAACTGGCTGGAGCCTTAATAAGGATTGTTATGAGCACACGGCTTACATGTTTGATACTTTTGTGTGACATTATCCCATTGTTAATTTGGCTTCAGTTTCTGTTCCTTTGAGGCTTTGATCTTCAGCCAGCCAGTAATAATATCTCACCTCATGCCCAGAAGTATGTCAACTAAGTCAACCACTTGTGTACCCCTTCCGCCGACAACAACAATTTCTCCATCTTCAAGCACAGTATAAGGGCTGTTTAACAGTAGATTCTTTCTTTTTTTTCCCATGTGGTTCAGGGGTAGGATTCAAACTAGGAATGTGGTGTTGCAATCCCCAACAAGCAACACCTCAACCATTCCACCCCAGCCTATATTCTTTGTTTAGAAGCTGTTTCTTTATGAATGATCTGCTTCATTATTCATGTCCTTCACATTTATTGAATTCAATTTCAATATCATTTCTCGTTGCACGTGAAACATAGTGCAAGGAACATCCACAGTCATCTACTTTTTCAAATGGCCACCGACAAGTAGCTTTCAAGAGAGGATGTTTCACATGATTCAAAGCTTCACAAAACCATCAATAACGATATTATAATTGTTTTTGGCTCTTATTGACATTGAGGGAGGTCTCATGCTCCATGCCTACACTGCCACCTATTTCTTCAAGAGCCCTCTTGTGAAGAAAAAGAGAAACTGTTAATAATTAAAATTAATAAAAAGTAATGTAAAACATTAAAGTATAGAAGTAGACACCATTCTATGCACCAATACGATTTAACTTAGATTCCAACGGAATCTAAAGAAACAAATCCTCACATAACAATGGAGTATGTTACCCTACAGCCAAGATTTATTATTGAAAAAAGCAAGATGTAAATGAACACTAGAAAAAGAGAATAGTACTCAAAAAAGATTCCAGGCGTCTAGAACACAAGAGAACTTAAAAAATAAAATATGAAGGCAGGAAGAACGACAATTTCCAGATAATGAAGCCCCTAAAAAGACCATACTTCTGACCAAATAAGCAAGGGGATGAAGGCCCTCAATTAGCATGCCAGTAGTTGCAGTCAATAGCAACTGGAAGTTGCTTTGCACAGCAAATATGTATCAAGAAAATAAACATTCTAGGCTATTCTAAGTTCCAGCCAAAATTTTGGTTTAACCAAATGGATTTCTACAAGAGCATTTTAAAAAGAGTCTAAATGGCCAAAGATCATCAGACCTCACCAGCTTAAATTAACAAAAACTAAGGGCATTCAGAAATGACTACCCTTCCCAGAACTATGGGCAGATAATCGAAACAGCCAACAAAAGCTGACATGGGTAATAGGCTCAAAAAATATGCTGACATAGGTTATACAAATTCAGGCTATGGTACTTGGAAACCAGATAGACTTCCAGTATGATTCATGGTGGCTACACTAGGAATCTATGCCAACTAATTCCTTATATCAGTAATTTAGTACAGAACAAGCATCAACCACAAATCAACGAATCGTACTTTTGGTGCTTCATAAAAGAGTATACAAGGCATGCTTTCCACCAAACAACAGAGCATAGAAAGTGAGAGAGCGAGAAAACCAAAAAGACAGCAGGTGAGCAAAAGGGGGAAAGTAATGGGAAAGGCATTTCCAATTGAGAGTTACAAGGATCGTCCAACTACCAAGGCATAGCAAAGCAGTCTCTCAAAGGACGATTGTTGCGAAGTTCTAACCTGAAACCAAACTTAGCAAACTAATTCCTTCCAATCAAAGGACAAACAGGGAAAGAGAGGTAAGATGGGGAAACTAGTGGGAAAATCATCCCAAATAATAATAACAAGAAAATACCAAGGAAAACCTCAATTCAAAGCATGATGTTTCAGATGATTTCAATGAATGGATCAGTTCAAGCAACCATTCACCATTGAAAAGATTTACGCATGGATATAAGTTTAATAACAAAGCACAGAGCAAAGACAATCAATCACAGGTAACATGTCGACCTTCTTTCGGCTAATTGGTATGGAAACATATAGTCCTACATTAAGCTCTACATGCTTGGAAACTTAACAGAGTGAATAAGATTTATCTGTACGAAAGAAGCATGATACAGATTCACCAAATAAAAAATAAAAATCAAAAAATCAAAAAAGGATAAGCACAAGAAGACAACTAAATTAAAAAACATGCCATAAATAAAATTTTGACGAAACCCTAACATCAACTTATCCCAAAAAAAAAAAAGGAAAATCTCATCATAAACTAGCTGTAATGTCCGTCTTACTTGATTCTTATTAACGCAAAACAAACCTAAAAAGAGCATAACAATTCAAAAACGAACCCAAAGATGAAAGACAAATCCCCATAATAAAAGAGAAAGGAACAAAAACTCAGGCACTAAATCAAATGGATCTAAAAAGGAAAAGGAGAAAAAACTCACCTCGTGATGAAAGAGAAACCAGCCAACTACCGCGCAGACAATAGAGAGAGAAAGAATCCGTCTCAAATGCAGAGAGAAACCCTCCTTCCAAGAAGATTATGACCAAGAAAACTTAGAATAAAACGAGAGAGAGAGAGGAAAATAGTTTCGGAATTTGAAACGCTGGGCTCTTCGCACCCCGTTTATATAAACAAGAGTAATCCGGATCCGAGCTTCGAGAATGTGGGCACAAATAGGGTTTTGAAAATCTTCATGAAAAGGCTATCGTAGTCTTTTATGTCTCGACTTGAGTCATAATTATCTTTGTTTAATGGGAAATTTCCTCAAAGAGGTCGTTGTGTGAGGCTGCAACTTAAATAATCAAACTAAGGTGCACATCTAAATTTTATCTTAAATTTTTATGATGATATGAGAATTTATTTTTATCTTTAATTATAAAATTTAAAATTTTAAAATGTATTTCAAAATAAGTAAATCTATAAACACATGAAAATTTGAAAATGAAAGGTCCAAATAATGTGGTGCAAGATGCACTGTTCTTGAGATTCGAATTTTTTTTCCCCATATATCTCAATATCGAGATGATCAATTAGAGGGTTTTTCAACATCAAAACACCATTTTCGATGGATTTTTTAGGTTCGCCCTAATTCTATAGTTTAAAGTTGTAACTTTATATAAACTTTTCTCATACGCTCCTAAAAAAATTTCAATACTAAAATTGCATCTTATAGTAAAGTTTGGAGTTGTTGTCTTACTTTGATTGTTTAAAGTTTAAAGTTGTACCTTCAGGCAAACCACACCCTAAAAAAACAAAGAGATATTTTCTAAAAGGGAAAAGTTATATAAGGTTACAACCTTAAAATGTAGAATTAGGGTGAAACTCAAAAATCCATTAAAAACATTATTTTGATGTTCAAAAACCTTCTAATAAATCTTTGTACAATCCATTCGAGACCGATCTCAGACAAGATCGGCAGCAAAATTTTGTACTTCACTACTTAATCGCAATCCGGTAGATTAGGGTCCAATCAAAATATGATCCAAAGGTTATCCGATCTCACATTAGAGATCCAACCCTTTTTAGATCATCGGCTAGGTTGGCTTGTAAATAGCTTTAAAGTAAGAAAAATATAACAAAAGGTTCCAGAAAATGAAATGAGATCTAATAAAATGATAAAATCGAAATAAAATTCAAAATAAAACAAAAGGAAAAGAACTTACGAACTGGGTAAGGCTTTGCGGCCGACACCCACAGTAGAGGCCCTGATCAGAACTTAATTAATTGAATGAATTTTTTTTAAAGAAATGAATAATTGAATATGATATTTAAATGGACTAGCTTGATGATGAGTCTAGAGCCTCAAAAGCTTAATACTTTAGGTAGTGAAAAAGAGGAGGTTATTTATCTTTGTGATTGTTGGCTGTGGTTGCTGAAAACTAAGGTTGCTCGGGGTTAGGGTTTGGATGGAGAGAGGAAATTAGGGTTTGTAAGGAATATGCAGTGCTCTCCCCTTGGGAGGTCAAAAAACAAAGATTTTATAGGCAAAGGTGCCCTAGAAATGCGTGAAGCTATTACTTACACCAATCAGAAATTGACAGTTGTTTGCGCCACACAATGCAGATTGCATGTACGATGCACCCCAAGTTCAAGTGCGATGGGTAACCGACCCAGTTGTCTTAGATTTCTTTGGGAGTGTGATTGTGATGATAGAATTTTTTGGGCATTCTACGCTGGACTATGGTATCGGAATGACTATGGTTTAGTGTGTCCTATGGTCTACTAGGCTAACGTGGTTCTTATGGTTTAAAAGGCTTGTCTAAGGCTCATTTTTTATACTTTGAGATTCAAAATTCCAAAAAGAATCTCAATTCCAAAAATAGGGTCTCTACATGATCATCTCGACATCGAGATGTATGGATATGTGAAAACAAAAAAAAACGATTTTAAATCTAAAAAATAATGCATTTTGCAACACATTATCTAGACCGTCCATTTTCAATATTTTCATGTGTTTATAGATCTACTTGATTTGAACTCTTTTTAGAGTTTTAAATTTTATAATTAGATATGAAAATAGAATCATAGGCCATCATAAAAAATTTGGACACCAAAATTACATCTTATGATAAAATTTAGAGATGAACTTTACTTTGATTGTATAAAGTTAAAACCGTATACAAACCACCCCTAGTTTTTAAAGGGGCTAT